ACTCCACTATATGGATACACCAAAGTTTATTTGTCCATGCATCAGTTCCTGGCCAGTTGACTTCTTTCCACTTTGTGGCTATTATGAATAATGCTGGTATGAACATTCATGTGTGTATTTTGTATGGACACACATTTTCACTTCTCTTGGGTACATACCTAGGAGTAGAATGCTGAAGTATACAGTAATTCTATGTTTAACATTTTGGAGAACTGCCAGAGTCCAGTCCCACCTGAAATTCCAATCTCATATCCTTTTCAACTCTTCCCCCTTCTCCCAGAACAGGCTAAACTTGTGTCTCTGCCATCTTGGAGTCAGGGAGGGAAATATCCCCAGGTTCCCTCTGTTCAGTCTAAAGTCACTTGCCCTGAGAAGGACCCAGGACACCCATGCCTCTGGCTTCCCCCCCTTCTGCGTCACCTGAAGCCATAATAACTGTTGGGGTCTTCAGCGATCAGTGAGGCTCAGGGGCCTGGAATGAGGGGTGCCCTCCTTTTCTCCATCCCTGAGAATAACCTGACAGCCCTTCACACCTCAAGGCACGAGATGCTCCAGTGAACCTCCCTGCTTCAGAAACTCCAGGCAGAAGCAGGTGTTAATCTCTATGCAAGGGCAGTCGCAAACTTTCGGATGTGTGCCCAGCATCCCCTTCTTCTCTCCAAGAATGAGAGGGGAAGAGGACAGTACACATTGCCTCCAGGCCCTAGATCTGTTACCGAAACCAAAGTGGGTTCATCTCCTAGAGGGTTAAATCAGACTCTCCACCAGAAGGAGTTGTCTCACAAAGTGAAGTATATTTGTGGCAAATAGGAGGCCATGAGGAATCATTTGCAGAGTCATGGCGTCCCCAAACAAAGGAAAGTAGGGATCTTTTATCTTGGATGGGGAATGAATATTCAAAAGGGAGAGGTGGGTACTCTCTTGCACAGGCTTGGTAGGAAAACATGCTTCCACATACACTGCAGGTTATGGTAATAAGGCTCAAGCTCCTCCTGGAGAGATCTTAGCAGTAAAAATAAGGCAAAGGTCCTAGGCACACCTCTTGTGGTGAGGCTTGGTCTGGTTTGGGGTGGTTGGTGACTGCATCTCCTTAACGTAACATAAGGCAAAAAAAAAAAAACAATTTGGAAAAACAGTTAAATGCTTCCAGACCCACCCTTGAGTTCCTTGGGCAACTGGTCAGTGACGAGCCTCCTCTTTGGCTCCTGAATCTCTCTTTTATTTTTCATTGTTAAATGCCCGTGGACCAGTTGAACATCTCCCACCCTCCCCCGTTCTGCATCCTCATTCCCTGCCAACCCTGCACCTGGGAGACTCGCCTGGGAAATAGGCCTTACTGAAATTTGACCTTTGTGACTTTAGTAACTGTTTTCTCAACAAGGAGCCATCTCCCCAGTTATTTCTTCCCTATTCAGTAACATAGAGGGAACTGGGGCAGGAAAAGCACTTAATCAGTAGCTTACAACAAACCCTTAAACTTGCAATAAACTCCCTTTTATCTGAGTTATTTTCAGAGAATGAGCCAAATCTGGACCTCCTTTCTAAAAACAACCAACCACCTCTGTTGCTCTGGCTGGAACATCCATCCACTCTTTCCCTTCCGTTACTTTGAGGCCAGGCCTTCCTGAGCAGGCAGAGATGAGGTGGGATTCCAAGCCAAGTGTGTGACTTCTAGTATGATGACGAGGGACCCACCTCCAGTCCCTGGGCTGACCACAACTCAAGGAAGGCCAATTTTGGAGGTGGCCCCCATGTAGACTCCTCCTTCCTCTCTCTGCCCCCAGCTGCCTATGACTCTCTCCCCACCTCCAACAACCACCCCACCCCCCCTCCCCATTTTCAAGAGAGGGGGCTAGCCATCATTTCCTTTCATCATATTCCAGATACACTCATATCAAAACCTTGGTTCCTGATTTTGAGAAGTTTGCTAAGGCTGGTGCTAGATAAACTGCTGGCTCCTTGCAGTTCTCACCCCGTCCTTGCTCTTTGCCCATGTCCCCAGAACTCTGGATGTATTTCCTTCTTACTCCTAGCCTGTGTTCTTTTCAACCTATAAGGCCTAGCAAAGTGAGAAAGACTGGACTTATTCTTTGGACCTGAAATAGTTACACTGATATAGCACCTGCTATGTGGCAAACACTGTTCTAGGTCTTTACATGAACATTTACATCATATTACATTACACCACATTACGTTACATTACATTACATTACATTACATTACATACACTGCATTGTATTACATTGCATTTGGAGGAAAATATTCTGGGAAGAAAGGACAGAAATTGTTTTAGTATTTCTTGCCCCACTCTGCCCTGTACTCTCAGAGTGATCCTGATAGAGCCTCATAATCTCCCTTCACCTCAACTTTTCCTTCTATAAAATGGAAGGGGCCATGTAGACTGGTTGTGTACACTGGTGAGATCGTTATTATGCTTTTTATAATGCAATATTTATGACCTAAGTTCCAATTTTCCATTACCAAGTATCATCCTACACACTTTTAATAAACAAAATTCAACTGAGTAAATTTTAAATATCTTATTGGCTTTATTCAATGATTCATGAACTGGGCAGCATCCAATCTAGCAAATAGAAAGGAGCTCCAAAGAGCTGTATGAAATGAAAGACTTTCATAGGCAGAAGGGAGGGGAGCAAGAAAGTTATACTAGACAAAAAGCAAATTGGTGACAGCAAGGTCACTTTCCTTTAGGGGATGACAGGGGCCCAGGCAAATTACCTAAATAGTGCTGATTGAGCAATTCTTGACTGACTGGTTTAAAACTCCATTTCTGGGGGAGCCAAAACTGTCATTAAGTCTCGGTTTGGTGACATGGGGCTTAGGATAATTGACTCCATTTGGGGCCAGTTGTCTTATTTTTAACAATACACACACACACACACACACACACACACAATTCAGTTAAGCCTCTCAGGGATCTTCCATTATAAAGAGAACAAAGCTAAATTAAATAAATTAGAAACAAATGTAAGCCCTTTGCCACGTTCTTAAAATGTTTTCTCGTCACTGTTGTTTAGCAATTTATACTATCCATTACTCCATTTTAAAAATTATTTCTGTCTTTACAAAAGTAATTTGTATTCATGGCAAGTTATTTAGAAAATAAAGTATAAACAAAAAGAAGAAACAAAAAAAAATCATCTGCAAGTCCTCCTCCCAGAAACATCCCTGTTAATACTCTGGTATCTCCCCCTCCAGTATTTTTTCAAGGCATATAGATTTATGAGGCACGAAATGTGCTGAGATATTAATTTGAGTTTTATTTGGGCCCTGTTATGAAAACACCTAGGCCTTCCCTTGCTCTGAGATGAGTCTGTTTTCTCAAACTTAGGTGTGTAGAGAAAGAATCCAGAGGAAAGAGTGGAAAGGAGAGGTGGGCAGAGTCGGGGGGAGCTTAGACGAGATAGAGGAAGGGAAACAGTGAGGAGTGTATCTCCCTCCTGATGAGAGACAGGAACTCTGATGGATACTAAACTCTCGGAGTCATACAGGGGATGTATGCCCATTCCTCAGCCAGTCACAGTGGCCGGGGAGGAAGGTCAGGTAAGAGCAGTCAACTCCCACTGAGACCACAAGCCTGGAGCTGTGGGTGGAGAAGCAGGTCCCCAAAGAAAGGACAGTTTTGCACAGACACAGCCCCATTCTTGGGGTCCAGGCAGCCACTCACATTTACAGCTACTACAAGTTTCATTCTTTCTTCCTTGGGGGATGGAGTAAAAAGAACAAGAAGGAGGAAAGGAGAACACTGATTTTTCGGAAGAAAAACAATTCGGCAGGGGAGTCTTAGAGGCAAGGCGTGGAGAGAGGACAAGAGAATATTAGAGAAATGTGACTAAGAAAACATACCCTGTCTGAATGTCAGAGCCCCATCTCTGCTGACCCTACCCCTCTGAACCCAAGGTGAATAGGGCCATAGGAATGGGATTGGTCATCCAGGCCTGCATTCAAGTTGGCCTTTTCTTGCCAACTGGGTTTAGTCTCACCACTGAAAAGCCTCGCAGTATGAGGGACCACAGAGGCCTGAGTTCAGATTCAGTCATGCAATCAAGGAAAGTTTACTTGATCTTGACTGTTTCTTCATATGTACAATGAGTCTAACAGTATCTAGACCACAAGTTGCTCCAAGAATTAAATGAAGTACTGTAGCAGGATAAATAGTGTTTCCTCAAAATCCATGTCCATCTGGAGCCTCGGAATGTGACCTTATTTGGAAGTGGGGTATGTGCAAATGTAATTAGTTAAGATGAGGTCATGTCAGATTAGGGCGGGCACTAATCCAATGGTTGGTGTCCTTTTAAGAAGAGGAGAAGACACTCAAAGATACAAACAAGGAGGAAGTTCGTGTGAAGATGAAGTCAGAGACTGTGCTACCGGCTCAACACAAGGTTGACATAAAGGGAAACCATATTGTAGAAAAGAAACCATATTGTAACTTTGAATGACTTCTTGTTGTTTTGTGTTTTTTTTTTTTTTGAGGAAGATTAGCCCTGAGCTAACATCTGCTGCCAATCCTCCTCTTTTTGCTGAGGAAGACTGGCCCTGAGCTAACATCCATGCCCATTTTCATCTACTTTATATGTGGGACACCTGCCACAGCATGGCTTGCCAAGCGGTGCTGTGTCTGCACCGGGGATCCGAACCAGCGAACACCGGGGCCGTCAAAGCGGAACGCATGAACTTAACCGCTGTGCCACCGGGCCAGCCCCTGAATGGCTTTGGATTAACTAACCCTGACACACTAGCCCCTTTGAATCTTTGCTTTAGTTTGCCTAGATAAGCAAGGGTCTGTCTCCAAGGGATTTGTAGGCTCTGTGGATTTTATGGCCCCTCCTAGCTGTGATAAGATGATAACTTTCTTTTGAGTTCTCTAGGAATGTGATGACCCCTGGGCAGAGAGTCTATGCTGATAGCCATCATCCAAGACAACTGAAAGCTCAGGGTATAGGGCATTGTTCCAGTCTCTGACACATATCCAGTAAAACAAAAGACTATCAGGAACTAACAGCAGATGTCTGCCCACCCCATCCCTGAGACCAGCCCCGTGTATATATATATAACTGGTCTGTAGTCTTTGTTCTGGAAATGGTTCTTTTGAACATTAGTGGGCCATCTTCCCTCTCGCTAGCAAGCTGTAATAAAAAACCCTTTCTCTCCTACCACCTCGCCTCCTGACTATTGGCTTGTCTTGCAGCAGGCAGATGACCACCCTTGGGTGGTAACAAGTGGAGTGATGCAGCTACAAGACAAGGAACACCAAGGCCTGCCAGGAGCCACCAGAAGATAGAAAGAGGCAAGGAAGCATTCTTCCTTGGAGCTGTGAGAGGGAGTGTGGCCCTGCGACAGCTTGATTTCAGATTTCTAGCCTCCAAATCTGTGAGAGAACTGTGAGTAGTGTTGTTTTAATCCACTCAGTTTGTGGTAATTTGTTAAGGCAGCTGTAGGAAACTAATAGAGATACCTGTGTAAAGCTCCTGGCACACAGCTAGAACGTGCTGGTATTCTTCTTTCTCTCCTCTTCTCCTACTCCCAAACTTCTCTCCTACTCCTAATACTAAACCCCCAGCTTTGATGGGGACACAGCTCAAGAGTCTTTGCATGCAGACAAGTGACATTGAAAGCAAAACCAAAACTTCTCACTAGGCTGGGTTTTGTTCAATTCCTCAGAACTAGTTCGGGTTTTATTACCCTCGTGTTACAAGGAAGTCTGAGCTGGATGGAGATGACATCTTTTCTCGTCTTGCTTAATATGCCTTATCCCCACATTCTGATGGCATTTTTGTTACTCATCCACTTATGTCCCTCTGCCTACTAGAAAGAATCCTGGCTTGGAGCTACTGGTTCTTGCAGTGGTCTAGACAGCAATCTAGGTTTTTAAATTTTTATTTTATTTTGTTTTGTTTGGGCTGTTAGTTTATTTGGCTTCTATGAAGGAATCTGACACAAAGAACAACTGTTTGTTATTTTCTTTTACCTCTTTGCCTGAGGAGCCGTGCCAAGTCCTGACGTGAGTATTGAGTGGGTTGTAATTTTCGCATACTCTGGGTTGGTGTCGTAGATGGTGACGAGGCTGCCATGGTGGGGGAAAGTGTGGGCACAATTTCTCTCAACATCATTGGAGACAGGAGAAATTGTGCTCAGAAATTGTGCTCAGAGGCACAAACAAGCTGATTGCTTCCTGTCTCTTGCATGTCTCTATGTTTATTATTCTTGTTGGGCAGTTTCATGAGGTGAGATTTTTTACTGCTCAAAAGAAATGTGCACTGAAATAAATTGAACTATGCTTGAGACTGTCTCTCAGCTTAGAATTTTTGGAGGGTTAATGGAACTTAAAAGTTTTATTTTTCTACACGTGACATCTGTTTGTGATTATCTGTTTGGCAGGCAGTCAACAGTCCAAGCTAGCCTGTTTACAAGCTGTGCTCTAAGAGGAAGCTGTTTAAAAAAAACAAAAACAAAAAACTGTGATTTTATTAACTTATACAGGCAACCATTATTTAACAAAAGCATGATTTGAGGTCTACTAAAAGGCTTATTTTTCTATATAAAATGATGATAGAAAGGTTAGCAAAACGAAAGAAAACTTCAACTATTGCTATTTATTGCTCACCACCTGGGTGCACGTAGTAGAAAAGAGATAACAATGGATCCCTGTGAGAGAGAGTTGAAGTGAGGAGGTGAAGCTTGAGTGAAATTGCCTACTAATAAGGTCTTCTAACCACGAAATTTTATGGTTCTGTGGGAGGGAATGATAGACGTAAATTGACAAAATGCACAGTAAGAATATTCATTGTGAGCATAGACAGCTGTATCAGGAGTCAAATGCCAATTGACCTGGGTATTCTGCAAGCTCCCCTTCAAACCTAAGAGTGTATGGATGGATGAACCATATTGCTCTTGCTGCTCAGAACTGGTCTATTCACCTTCAGTACCTGCACTCTGTCAGCGGGATCTTTCTTGCTTACTGCTTCAAGGTGTCTTCTCTTCAGATTTCTCCTGTTGTGAGCCTTGTCATCGAACTGGAGCTCCAGGTGGGCAAGGACCACACCTTTTAGGTTCTCTGAATCCCCAGTGCCTAGTACGGTGCCTCACAATGTGCATAGGTGCTCAATGGGTGCTTGTTGAATTGTTGAATTAATTGATTTGATGAAATGGCAGGTGAATCACCAGATGTGGGATATTTGTAACAAACAGGGGGCAGTTTGGGGTTGACTTGAGAAGGAGATGGTGTAAATGTCCTCAGAGACAGTATTACAGGTCATGTTTCAGAGTTGACTTGCTTTACAATGCATTGCACAGCGGTCCATAGATTGTCGTGTGTCATTTTTATTCCACATGGCAAAGTTCAAATATACCATGTACCTCAACTGTTGAATATTTGACTTACCCTGTAACAAGGTAACTGCAGCCTGACCTCCTAATGTCACACCTCACTCTACTGCAGTGGGGCTCCCTCAGGTTATTTGTGTTCCCCTAATCTTCAAATTAACTCACAGAACTCCAGGATAGATAAAGAAATCTGAAAAGTTATCCAACCCCAATCGCTTCAATGTCTTCCAGCCCTCTCTAACACTCTAGGGGCTAATTCCCAGTTCTTATTTTCCCAACTCTCTATTGTCAACCGCTGCTTCTTGGGATTTTCCTCCCTTGGCTCTGAGATACTGTGATGCGGGAGGTCCTCATACTCTTAGGACCATTTCTTCTCTGCCTTGTTCTCTGGTCTCCTACTCCTCCTGTTCTCCAGATTTTGGGGCATTCATCAGAGTTCAGACCTTTTCTTTGTAGTCTCTCTTTTTTATATTCTCCCTCCTCAGAGTTCATTCATTCCCCAATGTCAACTAACATTTCCATATTGCAAATAATTTCTTTATCTTCATCTCTAGGCCAGAATTATGTCCAAACTCTAGACATACATTTTTCTTGAATGCCTTGTATTACTTCATGACTTAAACTCAACTCATTGTCTTCCCTCTAAAATTCAGCTCTTGATTTTATATTTCCTTTTTTTCCCCCCAATGACATCAATATTGTCTTGATAGTCTGGCCTCAAAACCACAGTCAACTTATTGCTTCTCTTTCTCTCCTATATGGCTGATCACTTGTCAATTCTTCTGTCAATTGTCTTATAAGTTTCTCCTTCCTCTTCCTTTCTTCCCTTTTCTGACCCTAACTCAAGGGCTTTACCAAACATCTGAATGAATACCATGACCTGCTAATCAAGTGGCTAGCCTTCAGTTTTACTCTCACTCCATGCCATGCTTGGAAAAAAAAAAAACAGATTTAATTTTTTTTCAAACACTTCTTTGGTATTGTCACTCAGTTTTTTGGATCTGTTTAAAGATTTTACTTTTCCTTTTTCTCCCAAAGCCCCCTGGTACATAGTTGTGTACTTTTAGTTGTGGCTCCTTCTAGTTGTGGCATGTGGGACGCTGCCTCAGCATGGCTTGACAAGCAGTGCCATATCCGCACCCAGGATTTGAACCAGTGAAACCCTGGGCCGCTGCAGCGGAGTGCATGAACTTAACCACTCAGCCACAGGCCCAGCCCCTGTCACTCAGTTTTTGAGTGACTGTCACTGTCTCCTATTGGCAGGTCTGCATGGCGTTAAGCCCTTGAGATTCTCATCTCAACCTCTATTTTCCAGCCAAGTTATGCTCTTCATTGTCCCCATCAACATGCCCTGTGTATTTGCCCCTCTGAGGCTCTGCTTCTGGGCTGTCCATAGTGCCCTCAAGAGTGGCTCCATCTCTCCAAATCCTACCAGCGCTCCAAGTCTCAGTTCAAGTCCCACCTGTCTGGGAAGTCTCCTTCCAGTCACCTTCCAAAGTTTTTGCATTTTTATGCAAAACCTTTTATACCACTTCCTACTATTTTCATGTGTATGAATTTTAACCTTCTGATTATGTTATAATGTCTTTAAGGTCAGGACTCTTTCTTAGATGAATCCTTCTTTTCATTCTCCACAGTCTAATTCAAAGACTTGGCAAAAAGTGTAGCACAGTGTTTATTGACTAAAAAGTTGAGATGGAATTTGAATATAAGTTGAATTTGAACTTAAGTTAAATTAACTAGAATAGAATCTTAAAGCGTACTATCTCTGCTGGAGATGGTTTAGAGAGCAAATAATTATACTGAAACATTACTAATCCACCTCTGAAAACAGAGCACTGTGGCTAAGATCCCCTAAAATCTCAAATGCCTGTAGGAACTGGTAGGTAATAAAAAATGTGTGAGTCCAGCTAAAGGTAATATAATAGGGAGAGGTAGGGCCTGAGGCAAACTGCATTACTTGCCCAAACGCATTCAAATTCAAATTATTTTAAAACATTGCTAGTTACAATTCCTGCCTTAGATGCTTTGCTTCAAAAACTGTGATTAATTCAGGTATTTCACCTCAGTTTGGTGTGTGTTTATCTAGGTCTTCATAGAAACCCAGGGTTAGGGGCCAGGGCGGTGGAGCAGTGGTTAAGTTCCCCTGTTCTGCCTTGGCAGCCTGGGGTTCGCCGGTTCAGATCCTGGGTGCAGACATGGCACCACATGGCAAGCCGTGCTGTGGCAGGTGTCCCACATATAAAGTAGAGGAAGATGGGCACGGATGTTAGCTCAGGCCAGTCTTCCTCAGGAAAAAGAGGAGGATTGGTGGCAGATGTTAGCTCAGGGCTAATCTTCCTCAAAAAAAAAAAAAAATGAAGAAACCCAGTGTATGCTAGACACTTCAGGAGATGGAGGGGACAAATGAGATAAAACTGGCAATGTTCAGCAAGGAATAAAGTGTTATACAAACATGATCCTTTATGCTGGTTATTATTACATAAAGGAATTATTTGCTAGGATTCTTGAGATATTTCCATAAAGTGTCTATGCCTTGGTTATTCTATGATCAGAGAATTCTTGAAAGTGTTGATTATGTCTGTCTTATTTACCTCTGCATACTAGAGCTTGGCACATAGTAAATATAGAGTAAATGTTTTGAATAAAAGAAAGAATTAATTAAAACGTCTGTACATTATGGCAGCACCATAAGTTTTATTTCAGCTATCAGTTCACAAATAGATTTCAGCAGACAGGTGAAATGGCAAGAAACTGGGCCTATAGCAACAAGAAAGTGAAACTTCTAGCACCTACAATGATTTTTGATGCCCCTGAAAATTTTACTTGGAAAAGTTTTCCTCATTTTCTGCTTATAAACTTCTCCTCAGAATTTATGGACATTTTCTTCATTTTTTTCTGGAAAGATACGACTTTCTGATACAATTGAATAAATTGATATTAGTACTTATGGAGAAATAAACAGAATAAGATCTAAACACCTACCAAGGAGAAAGTTGGACATAAACCATTAAACACAAGGTAGGCAAGAAGTACCCTGAGAGGTACAGCAGTTCTGCAAACATTTGCTTGGGAGGCTTAGGAGGAGGATTCATGAAGGAGGTGGCTCTGAGTGAGTCTTAAAGACAGGGTAAACTTTTACCAGGTAAGATCTTCATGGGTTAGTAAAAGGAGTGGTCATATTAGGAATTCATGGGAATTTTAGACCAAAGATCATCAGCCACCATCATAAGTAATAATGACAATGAATGTGAAGAATGCTTTGCCATTTACAAAGTATTTTGTCACATACCTTGTCCAAGGACCCACAAGCCTTTCTGTTCACTGCCTGTGGTTTGGTCAAGAGCTTCAGATGTTAGATAACTTGATTTCCGGTTTCCACCCCTCTTACTATCACCATGTCAGAACGGTCATTGATAGCTCTTGGACCACAGGAGCATGATTTAGTCATTCAACAAATACTAACGAGGACCCACCATGAATCAGGAACTGTTTGGGGTGTCAGGGATATAGCAAGGAACAAAAACAGATGGAAATCTCTGCCCTCGTGGAGATTAATCTCTTGGGCAGAGTAGAGAAACAGAAGCAAGAGAAAAGAAGCAAAACTTCCATAGAAGTAGGAACCTTGCTCTTGATGGCATCCATAAACTCTTAAGGATTTCTCCATGTCTGCCCCTC